TCTGTCCAATTAGCTCAAAGGGAAGCTAGTTTCGGATTAGGTGTGCAAATCTCAGGTCGGTCACGAGCCGACGCGTAGATCCTCTAGCTCAAAACAGCACCATTTTACTTTTTTTTTTTTACAAATATAAAAGCCAATTTTTAATTGCACTTTCTCTCCTCTCCTTCTCTCTCTACCTCTCTCCCATAGACTCCCTCTCTCTCTCTAAAAACCCAATCAACCATTGCTATTCGCAGAAGCTAGCAACTAGCCGCCGTGCTTGCTGTCAATACCCTTGCCACCGGCCACCATCATCAGAGGCCAAAAATCCAAAAAAAATCACCTCTTGATTTCTCCAACCCCTTGAACCCCGATATGGCCTCCGTTTGGCAAAATAAATCTCAAATAGCGTAGAGTGGGCTTTGAAGTTTCGGTCAAAAATTATTTTTTTGCTTTTTTGTTTGTTGTTTTCTTGATTGGCGCTGCTGCTCCCTATTCCAAGGGATTTGTATTGTTTTTTTTTTTCTTTGGTGGTTGGAAGCTTAAAAAAAATGAAGGATTTGAATTTGGTAGTAAGCTTTTGGTTTTTTAAAAGAAATTTTTTAAAATTTTTGTTTCGCAGAATTTTTCCTCACTGTCTTTTGGGTTCTACCTTGTAGAATTTTGGGCATATGACTTTTAAGGCATTGTGAAAATTTTGTACCCCATGATTTACGCTACAAAAGTTTGGGTGTTAAGGTGGTCGGCAGTCGCTGTTGGCAGGTGGTTGGTTGTCGGTGCATTCAATGCACTGTGACTTTGGGGAAGGCTTTGGGGGAAGGGAAAAAGAAAAGAAACGAAAAGGAAAAGAAAAGAAAGAAAATAAAATGAAAAAATTATATTATAATTATAATAATCATAACAATGAAAATAAAAAAAAAAGTATTCGCCATTGCTGAAAATAGATTCGGACCTTTGCCTCAAAATTTGATTGAATCCATCCTATACGAAAATAATTCGTCAAACTCAATTAGGATATTCAAACAGATCCAAATGAAATTGAGAATCGATTTAGATTTATTTTGACATAAATTTAATTTTCAGATAAAATAGGTGTCCACATACATGATTTTTAATTTAACTTTTTAGTTTTTCATAGCTACTCCTAATTGAATTAGTGTCATTTAGTTGGTGACACTAAATTTATTCAAAGATTTAGTAGTAGTCTAGGTTTAAAATAATTCATAAATTAATATAATAAATAAATAAATATGATAATATTCTAATCCTTCTTTCTTAAATTTAAAAATTTTACCAACTATGTATAAATAATAATTATTACAAAGAAATTGAAACTTGAATCACATACTATATATAGAAAGTAATAACTACTTGAAAGATATATATAAGTTTGGATTGTAAGTTAAATAATGACAAGAACACAGATTATTACAATTAAAGGTGTTGATCTGAAAATGTCACACGATCAAATTCAGTTCATGATGTAAAAAGTGATCACGAGAGATAACATTTAGTTTTTAATAGCCGCATGATCAAAATATTAATATTTATAAATGTTGATGATTAAAATATGATTTTTCAAAGTTAGTTAATTAAAATAAAAATTTTGAAAAATTAAATAATGCTAAAAAAAACAATTTACTTAAAGGAAAAAAAATGCGATTTCTAGAGTAAAAGTAACATTTTCCAATGATAAAAAGCAAATCCCTAGATATAGTAAATTCTTTATTCTTCTAATGGCATCATTAAAAATAATTGTTGAACTTTTTTGAAAGCACGTAAAAAATTTATAATACTAAATATATATTTTAGAATTCTTTCTTTCTTCTACCAAAAAAATATATTTTTGTATTTTTAGAATTCAAAACTATCATTGTAGAAACAAAAAAAAAAAATCGTAGAAACAATGATGTAATTAATAAAGGTCATGAAAATCCTTAATTGCGAAAGGACTTCAAATCTTCGAAGTCTTGAATCTGGAAAGGATGGTCTGTCGAGAGAAAAGGAGTGGGGTTTGAGGGAGTTACGTTGGTTCAGGCTATAACTAACCCATTTTATTTTAGTTGTGAAGACGTTGGCCCAATTTCCAGATGGATGTTCCAAACCCAAACCCTTTCTTGAGGAATTTAATGGGGTAATGCATGCTTCTCAATCACTTATCAAAGAGGTGGACTCCCATTTCCTAACTTTTTGTCATTTTATGCCAACCTTTAACTTCTCTTTTATCTTCTGATCATCTCTTCATGTCATGGCTGCATATGCAAATCTTTTACGCTATAATTTTTCCTGGGTTGACATCTCATGCTTTGCTAGCCTAAGGAAGTGGCTACACCACAAGAGTGCTGAGAATTTCCTTCAACTAAAAAGAATGGTTCGCTGCTTTCAACAGAAAAAAGAAAAGGTAAAAGTGGCGTATTCCAATATTCCATTCCTTCATGTTCTTTTCCAAGGGTATAGGATTCCCTTTTATGCATTGTTTGTAATTCTATCTGTAAGAAGAAATTAATTTGTACTAATAAAATTTGTTCTAGGAAAGAATTCAAACTCAATCAGTACATGCATTTTATTGAGTCAAACGTTTAAATCAAATAATTGTTTTATTCGATATTGATCATATATTTACGTAGGGTTTGACCAACAATGTTTATAAGCACTTGCTAAGATTAATTAAGATTCTATAGAAAAATTAATTTTACATTTTTCACTTAATGTTCTATTATTGCCAAATTAAAAAAACGGACAATATAACATCTTAATAAGTTCATATACTTATCAACGAAGTTTTGATTTAAATGCAAAAGATTTTAAAATTTTGAAATTTTAAGTTCAAGTCCGTCTTACTTTATGCTAGATTTATCTAATTATATACCTATTCCTTCTTTAGTTAATTTGTTTATTCAATTAGTTGATTTCTTAGATGTAATATTTGAATGTAGTTGTAATTTCTTCTTTTAGTTGATTTGTTTATTTGATTAATTGATTTTTTATATATAATTCTCTTTTATTACGTAAAAAAAGGTCCTGTTGTCCTTAACATTTTGCTATTCTCATAATTAAAATCCAACAATCGATATATTGAAGGGAAGGCCACAGCAAAATACCTTAATTAAGGACAAATTAATTAGCATATTTAATTAACTAAAATCATGATTTTAATATAATTTTAATGAATTGGTTTAAATATTGAAAGCCAAACAAAAGTGCAAGAATAATAATGCCAGGCTTTCACTTTTTGTAAAGTTGGAATACATGGCTTAAACCAGGCCGCAATTGGAAATAATTTTGTATGTCTCTTGCAGCATGCAAGTTTAAATTCATTTCTGTTGCCTCGTCAATAGTCCTTTGACTACTTTTGGAAGATGTTTAATTTTTTCTTTATTTATCTTAATCTTAAGGGACTAATTAAAAATATCAAGAACTTTTAATTAACAAAGCAAAACCAAAAAGAAAGGAAATTACTTACAGATTATGTAAGTGTTAAACGTCTTTCTAATCTTTGGATTAAAATTAAATTCATAATACTTACTTTTAATTATTTTGTTCAAAGATTTAAAAAATATATAAGACTTACACTAATAAGTAAATCCCTCCTCAGAGACGATAAAATAAATGCAGAAAATGGTTGCCCTTATTTGATGCTTTTCTTGGCTGAAAGAATTATATATTTTAGCATGGTTCTTGAAAAAATACATATTATTTAGGTTATGTTTGGGATTATTTTGTTTTTTTTTTTTTTTTTTTAAAATTAAAATAGAAACATGTTTGGTGAGTGTGTATTCTTTTTTAAAAGACAATATTTTTGGAAATCATTGAAATTAAATGCAAAATTGATGTTTTAAAAATTTTGAAAATAATTTTGGCAATGTTATTGCATGAGCACTGGTCATTCGTTAGGCTACATTGTCCATTTTAATATTTGAAAATAAAAAAATTCTTGAAAATTTGCTAATAAAAGGAATCGAACTTCTGCCATTTTAAAATTTTAAACTTTTGATGCTTTCTCTCATAAGTTTTTGTTAATAAATTTCTGTAAAAAAAAATTGTATACAAACATATTTTCAAATTCAATAAATTAAAAAATAAATGAAAATAAAACAAAAACAAAATTTAAAAGCATAAAACACAAAAATAAATTGAAAAATAAATGCTAAAGGGGCTGATTAGCATGGTTCTTTAAAATGGAATCGATTCTTAGATTAATTGGGTTGTAAAGTGTCATGCAGTGTTAAACAAACTTGAACAGAAAATATTCTTCTATGCTTAATGCATCATGTAATTATCTCATATTTATATATTTTTTAAACAATAACTCATATTTACATTGAATACACTATCAATGTATAATATTATATACTCCTAGTGAACTGTACTTAATGAAAAAGTAATTTTTAAATTTTTAAAATTAAATTTTTTATGAAATGTAATTTTATAATTCATTAACAGTATATAACAATAGTTTTCAAGCCTTTAGTTCAATGGTTAAAAAAGCTTAAGAGGACATCAAAAGCTTCATTTCGAATCAAGTCTCTCTCATTCTCCTTACTTATATTAAGATTTTGCGCTTTTAATGTAAAAAAAAAAAAAGTATAACAATATCTATATACTAACAATATATCAAATACAAAGCCAATTATCCCATATACTTAAATAGAGATACCTCAAATTAATATCCCAATTTTTAATCAAGCCCAAATGATGATGACTTTGGCATTAAAGAAAAAAGGAAAATTTTTATTAAAAAAAAAAACGAAAAAAAAAGTTAGACGTAGGGTCACTCTACATTTACAACATCCACATGCCATTCGCTTTCATGACCATTGCAAGCCCATTGCAGTTTGATAATTTCTACTCTTTCTCACCCACTCCTCAAAGTTGATCACCCTCTTTGCTTTCTGCTCTCTGCCTAATTAACCACGCATTGAACGTGAGGCAATAAACCAATACCACCAAACAAGCCTTATAACCCAAAGTCCCACTTCTCTTCTTTATATTGCATTCTCTTCCTTTCTCTCAGCAAAAACATGGTGCCCCATACACATCAAAAAAATCCTCAATCACTTCTTATAGTCTTTCTAGTTCTTTCAATATCATTTCCAATTCCAATCAATGCCTCTACCAAGAAGCTAGAAGAAACAGTACCAGTAGCAGTGCCTCTAGCACCAACTACTGAAATTATGTGTGGAACATGCCCTTGTGTCAATCCATGTGGTCAGCAGTTACTGCCTCCGCCGCCTCCTCCACCACCACCTCCTCCTCCTCCGCCAAGGTTCACATACTGTAATCCTCTTCCAATGCCTCCACCTCCGCCAAGATTCTATTACGTGACCGGCGTGCCTGGTCAGTTGTACACAGCTGAACCAGATTATAGGTGGACATTTTTCTCTAATGCTGGACGCAATGTTGTTGGGATTTTGTTCCTTGTATTTGGCTATGGATTGTTGGGACTCTTCACAATTTAGTAAACATCCATGTTGCATTTCTCTAATTGGGCAAGATATTATTTTAGGTTTGTTTCTTGGTTTAATTTCTTTAAATGTTCTACCAAGAACCAGAGTCTATTTATTATGTTCTTATATTTAATTTTCTTGACCAAATTAATTGGACATGAATGAATGTATTAATTTAATGTTTATATTCTTCAAACTTGCTTTCTTTATGTGTTCAATCTTGCCTTTTTTTTTTAATTTATTTTGATGCGGCCAAGAATAATAATGATGCTACAAGTGTAAAGAAAAGGGCATTTTTGGTCTCATCGTGAAGTTTAGTAGGTACCTACTTTCTTAGAGTGGAGCCACAAAGGTGGTGGATTTAGAATTTTTATTTGAAGTATTCACTTATAATTAATATATATAAATAATTACTAATAAAATTATAAATGTTATCATGAAAAAGATGTTTAAGAAAAAATTTTGACCGTGTTCAAAAATTTTTTTAAAAATTTTTCTTGCTTTTCAATTTTTGAGATATCAATGGACACTCTACCCAATAATATGGATTCGCCTTTGTATTGAGGCAGCGTCAAATACATTTAAAAAACTTTTATTTTAAACTAATTATAAATTAATTAACTAATATAGTATTATATACTTTACAAGCTGCCTTAGACACATTTTCCTTAGTCCTTAGTTCTTACATTCCTATATACATATGCTCCATGAAATTTTCTTTTTCATTTTTGTGAATATATGGTTATATTGATCTTTGATATGAGCGAAAACAAATATATGATTGAATTTTTTTTTTGAGAAATTATATAATTGATTCTCATTTGTATTAAAAAGTATTCATAAAAAGGGAAGGAAAGCCCAAATTTTGACTCAATCTTTAAATCAAATGCAAATTAATATAAGTCATTTTGATTAATCCATAGGTGTATTTCATGAAGACATCTAATTTCACTTTGGCAGGCATACATACATACACATATATAATATTGAATACATGGATGTGGGGTGCATTAATAGAATAGCAGCAAAATCACTTGAATTTGGCTTAACCATTTGTCCTTTGTTTAGGTTGCGATTGGTGCCTTCCCACATGTCATGATTCCAATGGATTGTAATTGTTGGAAATAAATTATTGAAAATATAACATTACAACATTTAATTGGTATACATAAGAAAATGTTGATTAAAATTATGAGAAATTATTGTTTCACTTACTCACCTCTCACTAAAGGAATCACGTTATCATATTTTGTGAGAATGTGATGCTTATAATGAAATTATATCCCTAAAAACATAACATGACAAACATGAAAATATGTTTCTTGCAAATTAAAATTCCGTGAATGTGAGAACATTCCATCATAACAAACACCCACAACAGGGTTGAGATCTAACTTCAAAAAAAAAAAAAAATCATAGCAGCCAAGATTTTGCCAGCTCTAAAAGCAAGAAATATGTTTTTTATCCCTTTTAAACGGTGCTAGACAGGGCCAGAAATGTTGGTTGTAGAAGGCTAACCATACATCCGCATGCAAATTTTCATGTGAAATATCATCCTAGGGAAATTCACCTCGGACCTGCTCTGCTATGATTGTACAGATCAGTAACTGGCAGTCAGTGCCTGATCCAAAACACTGGAACCCCAAATTTGGCATGGCAGCTCTAAACCTCTAACGATTAAAGTTTCATTAAAAAAGCACCCAAAGTTGGCGGACAAGTATCCTTTTCATCTTCAGAAAATTTTCCCCATTACAAATTGAAAGCACTGCAAACTCTGACCTACATCAGTGTAAAAATAGAATGAGGTAGTTGCGCCATGCATTTTACTTGTCCTACCTTCTGCTGGGCTTGATCTGATCAGCCTAACAACTTTAAATTCTGTACCTTCTTCTGAGGACATTATTTCATACCATATAAATTCATTGGATAATAATTTGCTAGATTTTTTATTGTTCGAGTGAAATTTTTGTGATGATTGATTCTACTGAAGTTAATGAGGTACGGCAGTGGATGTGCATTGAATGAGGGAAATTTCTGGAGAAGAGCTAACATCTTTTCACAGTTAATAATTTGGCCCCAATTATGCCGGTGATGACTTACTTGGTAGACGTTTGATACAGTGCACAAGAACTGAACTGTGCATTTACAATTTCAACCAACTTTGTTGCTATTTATAGTTACACCTACTAGAAATTATTAATATTTTATAGCATTCCTACCATGTTAGTTTATAATATAAATTAGATTTGATAATTTTTTTAAATTACTTTAATATTCAAGTATTACATTTATATAATGAATTGAATAATCAACTATTATATTTGTAGATATCCTAATTAGTCTGGGCCTCAGCTCATTGGGCCTGATCTAATAGGGTTTGTGCCTAAGGCCAATCGGCTCAGGTTATCAGGCTCAATTGATTATTTTTTTATTTTTTATTATTATTATTATTATTTGTTTTATTGGGCTGATCATTAATTTTGTTTTTTTTTTGTATTTTTATTTATTAGATTTATTATTACTTTTTAGGTGATTTAAAAAAAAAAGGGCTGTCGTGAATTATGGCTGGTTGGATTGAAGATGGATTCAATTTCATGCCTTTTGGAAATCCTATCCAGAGAGAGAATCAAGGTCAATCAAAAACTCTTTTGATTGAATCCTATAAATATTTGTAGATCATACACAGAAAAGATACGAAAAAGAACACAAAAAATAGGAAAAACAGAAAGTAGAAGTGGGCAAAAAATGTTTAGAAGGGCTACGGGAATCCTAGGATTGTTAGGATTTTTTTAATTTTTGGCTTTTTTTTTGGAAATTTTTTGAAAAATTTTCATATTCCGATGAAATTTTTTTGGCACCGATTAAATTTTCAGCTAATTTTTCGGTGACAGTTAAATTTTTTGACAAGCTTCCCAGAATCCGACCAAGATTCTAGTCCCGATTGAATTTGCAATGAACTTCTGGTGAACCAACCCAAATTTTGATGACTTTTTTCAGAATCCGATGAAGATTTAACCGGAGTTCATCAGTTTTCAAAGAGAAGGGAGAGGAAAAAAACGAGAAGAGAGAGAGGGGAAGAGGAGATCTGAGACAGAAAAAAAGGATTCAGCCTTTTATACTAGCTCCAAAACAGTGTCATTTTGACTTTTTAATTCAACCTATGATCTGCGCATTTTACCACTAGACGACCTGACTCGAGCGCTCGACCCGCTTCAACCCACGTCCCTGCCTTCGGCTACAGCCGAGCCGAGCCGCAAATTGAGCCGCCAAGCTGTGCTTTCCAAACGCTTCCTATGTTTATAGTTGAGTCGATCCAGCTGCCAGTCAAGCCATTTTTTGTTTTTCTTTGGTATTTATTTATTTATTTTATTTAGTATTTTTTTCCTTCTTAGTATTTTTTTTTCATGATTAAATTTAGAAAAAAATAAAAATAATAAATAATAAATTTTAGAAATAAATATTAATTATCCAATGATGAAATTTATAGAAATTTCAAATGATAAATTTTTATAAAATTCTTAGGTGAGAAATTTTATCTAAATTTATCTCAAATGGTAGAATAATTTAGATAAAGTTTCAATAACAATAATTAATGTTTATTTTCAAACAAAAAATATATAATATAAAAATATAAAAAATTTGAAATTAAATACAAATTACCCAAGAATGAGATTCTTAGAAATTTCAAATGGTAAATTTTTTAAGAAATCTCTAGGTGATAAATTTCATCTAAATTTGGCCCAAATTGTGGAATAATTTAGATAAAATTTCAATACAAGTAATTGCATTCTTTTTCCAAATAAAAATTTGGGTTGAAAATATTTGATAATTATCCAAGGATGAGATTCTTAGGAATTTCAAATGGTAAATTCCTAAAAAAATTTTAGATGAGGAATTTTCTCTAAATTTGGCCCAAATTGTAGAATAATTTAGATGAAATTTCAATAAAAATAAATGTCATATTATTTTCTTTCCAAGCAAGAAAAAAAAAAGAGGAATTTCTAAATAGGCCCAAATAATAAAAATTTCAAAATTTCAAAAAAAAAAATATTTTTAAATTGAACCAAATGGTAGAAAATTTAGAAATAAAAAAATAATAAAAAAGATTTCTAAATAGGCCCAAATGATGAAAAATTTAGAAATTCAAAAAGAAAAAATATTTCTAATTTAGTCTAAATTGTGGAATAATTAAATATATTTTCAACAAAAAAAGAATAAATAATAATTAACCTTTTTCTGACAATAGAGCCTCTTCAAGATATCAAATGAGATTTTTGAATACTCTTGAAGTGAGAAAATATTTGTAAGAGTTATACCAGATTGATTGAGGATCTTATAAATTATTTTCAATATTTCAACATAAAAATTTGAAACTATTAGACTCAAGACCATAGGATGAATTCAAAATAATATGGTACCATCCTTTGGGTGGGCATGTAGGGTTGCTATAACCTTCCATATATATAACTAACTCTCGAACTTTGATTCTGGTTAATAGACCCGAACCTATTCTTTTAAGGACTCTTAGTCAAACTTAGGAATTCTTTAAAATGATAGATTCCTTAGGTGACCAATCACACCTAGTTAAAAAAGATTGATGGTGACTCCATTCATTTGTTAAGTCTAACTATAGATTTACGAATCTATATGTTATGACAGTTTGGCGACTCCGCTGAGGAAGCTAGAGAGTCAAGCCATGATTTTTGAATTTATCCTATCTTTGGAACTAATGATTTTAAATTGTAATTACTTGTTTACTAACATTTTTTTCTTTTTTGTTTCTCATTTTATTTTGGGGCATAAAACCTATATGTTCTTTCACACACACTATCACATGCATTTGCATTACATGAGCTCTATATCCGAGCTCTGTCCTTCTTAAGAGGGAGTAAAGTACCTATACTTCTCGTGAGATGATAATCTCCATAATGGCTAGCAAAATACTTTCACTCAAATTAAATCATTTTCGTTGGTAACCTATGATGGGTGAGGATTTGAATGCCTTACTAGTC